TTGTTTATTAGCATTGACACTTTCAAAAAAAATAATTGCCTTGTATCTAGTACTTTTGCTTCTTTAAATGTTAAGTCACTAGAGAATCCTTTACTTTTGTTTAGTATCGTCTTGAGTATCCACTTTTGTATCACATCTAAATTCCTATGGTAACATTGTCTTACAGCTCCCCAACCAGCTACTCCATAGTTTAGCTGTGATTGAACGAGAGCGTAATAAATGACCTTAAGTTGTTCTAATGTTAAATATGACTTTAGATATGAGAAACGTGTGACACTTTCGAGATTAGATGACCTACTTGTTTGTCCCAGCGCAAGTGTTGGTCCACAATGATTCCAAGGTATTTTATGCTGTCTGATTTGGAAATGTACACGTTTTCGCCGGTGCTCAGGAAACGAAAGGCAGGTAAAGAAGTTTGATATGAGGCAAAGGGTACAAATTTGGTTTTTGACTGATTTAGTGTAAGCTTGTTTTTCCGGAACCATTGAAATATGGAACTCAGATCTGATTCCGATTTATTTTTGACGTCAAGCCACGAGTTTCCTGAAAAAAAAATGGCTGTATCATCAGCGAAACTTGTAACTGTGCCCTTCCAGTTACCCTCAAGGAGATTATTTATGTAAATCATGAACAGTAGCGGTCCCAGAACAGTCCCTTGAGGTACTCCGCATGTCACGACTCTAACATCACTCTTTATCCCGTCTAAATTAACGTATTGACGTCTGTTTTCAAGGTAATTTTTAAACAGATTAAGCGCACTGCCTTTAATTCCAATTTATTTCAATTTTTTCATTAGAATTTTATGACAGACTGTATAAAACGCCTTTGTTAAATCGACGAATACACATAAAGAAGGTGTTTTTCTAGGAACGCTACAATTCCTTGTTTAATTAGTTTTTCAAAAATTTTTGATATGTTTGATAGTAGGGATATCGGTCTATAGTTTCCAAGTTCGTCTGTGGATCCACCTTTGAATAAGGGCTTAATTTCTCCAGTTTTTAAAATATCCGGAAAGGCACCGATACGAAAACTGAGATTAATAAGGTAACACAATACTGGCGATACCTCGTTTGAGACTTCTTTGAGTGTTTCGGAACGTATCCCGTCTGGTCCAGGAGATTTTTTGGTTTTTAGTTGGTCTATTTCTCGTTTTATTTCTTGTTCGGTAGCTTCTCTTAGGAAGTATAAGTACGAGCCCATTCAATATCTTCGGTGTAGTTTTGAGGGATGATTATATAATTTGCTAATTTTCCGCCTATTCCACAAAAATATCTGTTAAAGCTATTTGCAATTTGCACTTTTCCTGTGATTATTTCTGAATTTGGCATTTTAATTTTCTCAATTTGTGTTTTTTGAAATGACTTGTTACATATTTTATTAACACATTTCCGTAAGGCTTGTGATCTATCTGTATTTCTCAGTATTTGGTTTTGTGCATAGTTTTTTTTTACTTTTATTTATTATTTTTGTTAGTTGATTTTTGAACTTTTTATACCGACTTTTCAATTCAGCATTTTCGGGATTTTCTAAGCATTGTTTGTACATAGAATTTTTTTCCTTGATTTTAATTATTAAGTTTTTGGTAATCCATTCACTTTTTCCGTTTTTTGTATTTGTTAGTTTTTTAGTTTGTGTATTTTGTTCAATTTTATCTTGTAATATTTGTGAAAAATAAGAAACAGCAATATTGAGATTTTGAGCTTGGTAGCAATGTCCAGGTTTCTTTCTTTAGATCCGCTCTTAGTTTTTTATAGTTTATGTATGTTTTGGTTCGCGACTTTTCTGTTTGTTTATTGCTTTTTAAGGTATTAGTATCAAACATAAATAAAATTGGACAGTGGTCCGTTATTTTTTAGTCAAAAATACACGACTTCGCGTTTTTGAAACAATTTTCGCTTTCATCTTTAATATAAAAGTGGTCAATGCAAGTTTTTGTCAACGGTCTTGTGAAATGTTTCTTTATATATGACGTAAATCCGTATGCCGCTAGTATGCTTTTGTAGTCTTCTATGTACAATTTGTTTGTTTTGAGTAAGTCTAGATTTATATCCCCCGTTATTATGTGTTTTTTCCTATATTTATTCTGTTCAAGATATTCAGACAGTGTTTCAACAAACCTATTCTCATTTATTGCTGGTGACCTGTAAATGCATGTTGAGAGAAATATATCTTGATTTTGTCCGATCAATAGTTCCGTACATTTAACTTCTCCAATGTATCTGAAGGAAAAATTCATATTTATAGTGTGTCCTTTACAAAAATTATAGTCCCATCGCACTTATTATATTTTCCCTCATTATAGATAGCATTGTAATTGGTTAACTGAAATAGCTGAATGTCGTTTATTTCATGCGTTTCTGTCAATACTATTACTTCAAAATTTTCTTTAATTTGTTCTAAAAAAATTTTGAACTCAGTAAAATTAGAATTAATTCCACAAATATTCAAGTGGAGAATTTTAAATCTGTCCTTGCCAAGAGATTGATTAAAGAAGTTCAAGTTTTTAATCAGTTGTGGTATAATAGTTTTTTCTTTCAAATCCCTAATAAATGGATCCATTGCAATTTTTAATTATTGATTTTTTTTTCCTCAAAATATAGCTAGTAACTATACAAAAATGTTTCTTATCTTTTTCTATTAACTCACATTTTTTTTTTTTTTTTTTTTTATGTTTATATCAAATCAAAATAGTTATTTTTGTCACAAGTACCTAAAAACGAATCATTGCTGTTTCCGGACGAGGCGTTAGCCGAGTCCGGAATAGCAGATGAGTCCTGAAAAACTTCGTTAGGTACGTGTGACAAACACTATTTTTTGTCATACGCTTTTTAGAATTCTTCAGAACGCTAAAATTTGCAAAATTTCCTATATTTTTGAAATCATAAAGGTGCATTTAGAAAGAAAAAAAAATCTTAAAAAGAAGCATTTTACGGACTTAAATGAGTCCGTAAAATAGCTGTTTTTGGGAGCGTATGACAAAAAATATATTTAACAATAATAACCTAATCTAACTTATAAATATTTTATAGAAAACCAATTTATTGTTAACGGTTTTTGGAATTTTTTGATCTAGTTTTGATTCCACTTTCTCGAGTTGGGGTGTGTTTCGATTTCCGCTTGATAGATTTTTTGGTTCTAATTTTTTCGTGCGTTTCTTGTTCTTCTTCAGAAGTGTCTGTGGATTCTGCCTCAGTGGAGCTGTCGCTGTTGTTATTTTTGTTTTCTAGTTCTTCAGCAGAAAACAAATTTTTCTCGATTTCAAGTTTGAATCCTCTGATTTTTGCTGTTTTGTTCGCGAGCTTTACGTAGGTGCTTTCTCAGAATTTTCAGATCTTCTCGATCTTTTTTGCAATAGTCATGTGATATTGCAAATCCTGTGTTTTGTAGAGCCCTTAACTTATCGGTGTCCTCAAAAAGTTCCACCTTTCTTAAATAAGACAAAAATTCTATTAAAATCGGTGGATTTTCTCCTCCTCCTATCCAATAAATGTTGTTAATGTCCCTAAGTGTAAGGTTAAGCGAGAAAAGTTCATTGATTTTTTCAAGCGTTTTTCTATTTAGATCTTTTCTGTTTTCTACGTTCAAGGGACCAAATAGCAAGACGTTGTTTCTTCGCAATTTTCTTTCAATTAAACGAGAGTTTTCTTGTAGCTCTTTAATTTTTTTGTTTGCTGTTTTGATTTGTGCAGTAATTTGATTTTCGCTGTTTTTTATTTGAGCACAGAGGGTGTTTATTTGTTGCTTGTTTTGTGCCGACAACAATCTATACATTTCTGCAATGGATTTAGGTTCCTCTCCCATATTCGCGATCTATTTGTATATCACTTGACAACGTGAAGTACAAGTACTGTGGCAGGATCGAAACGACTAAAATTTTCATTCGGTCAATATCGCGGTACCACTTTCTGGTACGATGCAGTTTCGTAGTGTGGAGTGGGAATGTACGGTGATGCTTGATGTCTTTATTTATGTTGGATTAATTGTTTACTATTCTAGATTTTAAGGTAATTAGGACGATTTGGTGCAGAATTCTCCTACCTTTTTTTTAATCCGTTGTCTTCACATTTCAAACTTTCGTACTTAACTAAATTCCACTTTTTTAAACAACTTTAAACTACTTAAATGATTAAATTCTATAACAACACGTATCTCGTGTCGACCGACAATCTCGACAGACCCTGTTTATCTTTCTGGTGCGGATTAATATCATGCATTAAAAGTATATTTTGTTGTACAAAAGCCCCAAAGCACTTATCGGATTCCTGCTGTATTAAACTGTTCAATACAAATATAAGTACCACTCCGGGGACAAGTCAAAACATATCACATTCTGGAAGAAGAAGCCAGAACAAAAATGGGCAAAGAGATTGAACTGAATAACCTAGGTACTAGGTTTTTCTTTTTTTTTCGACCTTTATATTAAGTTAAGCTTTATATTATTTTGTTATCTTAGTTTCTTATAATTATGTATCATGAAGGTTTTGTTTTAAAGAAATTTCTGTACAGGGTGTCACGAAAGGTTTGTTACAAACTTCTAGGAATGGTACCTAGATCTCGTAAAAATTAAGTTTTTTTTGATAAACATATCGTCGCTTTTCTGACAAATGGGCGTAAGCGACAATATTTCTAAAATATAGATTATTCCATGAAAATATAGTCATAGAGTACATATGATCTCACCAACTGGCGTATCTGTATAAGAAGTATTTTCCCAATTAGAACGTGGTTGGTATGGGCGGAAGCGACATCAAAAGTAACCGCAAGATCCTACTAAGAGGCGTATATCCCCAAAACGGATTTACGCCTTTTTGTCAGATTTCCAACGAAAAATGTTCGGCTGATGTGCCCCCGATGAGCTATAACTTCGCACCGGCAACCATGTAGCATAAATTCATAAATAATCATTCCAGTTGCTTCCTCTGGTATTTATTTTTGAGTGTGCCTTTTATTGCAATGGTATCTGTATAGGTAAGTTATCAGTAGTTATAAACAAAAACAACATGAAAAAGATGGCATGCACCCTTAAAACAGAAAAAACAGCATACGTGAGTCCCGTTTTGAAAAAGCAAGTTCCGCAAAGAATCATGAAGCCGCGATGTGATTCTCAAAAATGTAAAAATGAGGACTGCAAGTTGTTTACTGAGGAAGAACAAGAACGCCAGAAAATATTTCATGCTTTCTACAATACCATGTCTTCAATTACAGAGGGAGCTCATTATATCAATGAGACTTATGTTTACAGGAGAAAAACTGCTGCAACAGAGTCCAGATAAGAACAAGGACTTTGGCTTATCGCTTACCAAAAGGCGGAGGATCATTACCAGTTTGTGAAATTACGTTTCAAAACAGATTTTGTTCGATAAACGTGTAGGGCATTGCGTTAAACAAATTTGAAGCAAAAAGACGAAGTTATAAGATCCTCAGCACTGGCTCACATACAAAAGTTCCCAAAAATGGAGTCGCACTTTTGTAGAAAATCGACTTCAAAAGAATATTTCCATCCAGACTTAAACGTGAAGAAAATGCTTAACTTGTACCAAGAATAAGAGAGCCTGGAGCAGCCAAAATGCAGCTACCATACTTACCGTAGACGTTATTTAAATCACTGAATCTGTCCTCTGTTCTACTATTGCAGGAAGGTCCAATGCAGTCTTTGTTTGTCGTACAGGGAAGGTGATGCAAATAAAAAATTAGAGCTTCAAAGATGCATACACTGCACAAGTCGCCAAGAAAAACACTGCACGAAAAGAAGGAGGATGCTAAGGAAATGTCCAAAAACAACCCAGATTCAATAGCTGCTGCTGTTTTTGACATGCAACAAGTTATTCAGTAAACTATAAGTAAAGAAAATGCATTGTTTTATCGTCGTCGGTATTTACCTTCACTATTCACAATATAGGCAATAGAGAGTGCTACTGCTTCTCTTGGTCTGAAGTTAAAAGTAAAAGGGTTGGCAATGAAATTTCTACATGCGTTGACAGATATTTACACAACTGGACAACCAAGAAATCAAAGAAGTAAGGCTCTTCGCAGATGGTTGTGGGGCCAGAACAAAAACACAATCGTTTTCAACATGTTACTACAAGCTGTCGCAAATTCAAAAAACATACGTGAAATTGTGTTGTCCTTTTTCGAAACAAATGATGGGCAAAATGAAGGGGACTCCGCCCACAGTTCTATTGCAACAGCAATTCGGTCCCCGGGAAATATTTATATATCAGCAGTCAGCACAGTTTCCCCCATCTTCAAACTCGCCAGAAAAAAAAATGGCCATACATGGTTTTTGAAATGACTATATTAGCTGAAAAAATTCACCTTCACGTAACCAGAAAACTGGACTCTGGTGAAAATGTCGTTTGGACCAAAACGAGGACCAAAATTAAGGAAGTAGGTAATGTTAAACAAAGATGACGTTACTGTAGTAGGTAGATATTAAAAAAAGTCACCATGATGCGGAATATCAGAAACTGGCACTACAAAGACTATCATCTGATGTGCTTCAAAAACCTATCCAAATCAAACAGTGGCCAGATAGGGGGATTTTTTTTGTTCTTTACCACAGATTATTACTGATGCTTTGTTAAGTGCAGTACTAGGCATAAGTACGATAATAATAATATTCAGATCCCACGAAGGGACGAATGTTTATCTATCTGTCATATTTTATCATGTTCGCCTGAAATTTCTTGAATTCGAATAGTACTTGGAAAAAGTATGTGTATGTATCTGTCTATATAAAATATTATCACTGGAACTGCCTTTCAATTAACAGAAACACGGAACCATTTTTTTAAAATTGCTTTTCTGACAAATGATGTTTATGGTACTTACGCCCATTTGCCAGATAAGCGACGAATGTCCGGAAATGCTTCGCTTTCCAGATACAGGGTGTTAAACTTAGTAAAAAAAAGCCATTTTTTTTATTAATTCTTAAAAATACGTTGGACGAATTAAATGAAATTTCCATAGTTTGTTGACACCTTTATGAGGTATCTTTTGGACTGCTCAGAGTTGACTCAGTAATTCCAGTGACGTGCCACAGGTTCTGTCGGATGGTTTTTTGCACGAAAAACATCGTCCAGTAGATTTATTTTCAATAAGGATATGTTTTTTGAATAGAACACTTAAAGATACAACTTTTTTCTCTCTCCATTTTTTTCCGTATGCTGCTTTGTTTTCGAGATAAAATATAAAAACCATTTCAGGCGAACCACGAACGTCACTGACTTCGATAAATAAAAAAATAAATTGCCATAGAATTACCTGAAATTTTACCAGGCTATTTTTTGCTTAAAAATAAACAAAAAAATCAAAAAACTTTTTTTCTCAAACGCACGCACTTCTGAGAATTAATGTAAAATTTGATTTTTTTTACAAAGTTTTACACCCTGTATATCTGGAAAACGAAACATTTCCGGACACATGTTTATTGAGAAAAAAGCTTTATTTTTACGAGTTCTACCATCCCTAGAAGTTTGTAACAAACCTTTCGTGACACCCTGTATAAAAATTTCTTTTTTTTCAAGGAGGGAAGTGTTGTATACCTAAGGCGAAGTCTGAAGTTATTACTGTTAGTACATTAATATTAATTTGTATTTACTAAATATTATAAACTATTCCGTTGTCTCATAGAACAGATACTCAAATATAGAAGCAGCATAATGTATACCATCTTGTATTTTATTTACTCCAAGTCCAAGAAAGAATATTCAATCCCAGAAGCAACACGTCACGAGGAACACAACATCATTAGTTAACTCCTTCACACGATGCAGGATTGACCACCGCTTGTTACATAACGTTTTAAGAAGTGACACCAGGATGGGTAGCACGTAGCAATGCCAAAAGCCTAGCGATGTCGCAATCTCACCTGCATGTGGCACATCTTGCTGGAAAACTGACTAAAGTAGCTCGAATGGACAAGATGAAATTCGGCTGGATGCGCAGGAAGAGGCACCTCTTTTGTCGTTACGATAACGAATGATCCCTTAATACGGTAGAACTAAATAGGAAATATAGTGTGGAAAATGTAACTTCGTAAACTTGCCTTTACTAAAGGCTGGATGATATAGGACACACAGGGTCGTTATTCTTGAAACAGGGGAGCAGCGTTCCCAGGAGAACGAGTGTTCTGTCTTTGTTACTTAAATTATCATTTGCATATCATTGAGAAAGACGGCAAACTCGTTCTCCTGGGAACGTTGCTCCCCTGTTTCAAGAATGAGAACCCTGTGAAGTGATTTACAAGGTATATGCTTAACGTTCCTGTGTAACCGATCCATCATGGTTCAACAAAAATCTTTTTTTTTCGAGCTCCGAGTATAAGCAGAATTGGAAGGTATACAAGGTTCAGTGAAGAATAAGTTTGTTTTGGAAGTAGCATATACAGTGTCATTACTTAAGTGTGCAACATATGAGATTTTTTTTTAGTAATAGCACAATCAAAATACAAACAGGGCCAAAAGTTGGTGCATGTCTGATAATCAATCATATTAGGTGCAATTAGAATGGTTGCAAGTCAAACAGCATACAGGGTGGCTCAAAAAATATCAAAATTCTACTAATATTTACTTAAATAAAATAAAACTTTTGCACTTTAAGGAGAGTTTTTTTAATATGGCTATTATCATTAGTAATGTTTTAACTTGTTAAAAAAAAAATTGCGATATTTTAAAGTTGTGTTGAATATCATTGCAACAAACATGAATTTTGTGATTCCATAAAAAATTAAAAATCTAAATTAATTTGACAAATATGCTTGAATTTGAACAAAGTTATGCAAAATTGATTTGATTTTAATTAATTTTTGAAAGTATTAAGGGCGGAAATAAAAAATAAAAAAAATATAGAAATTATAGATTTTTTTAGAAAGAAAATAAAAACAATCTTAGGAGGCTATATTTTGGTATTTAGGCATAACTTTTATTTCCAAACAACTTTTCTCTATAACATTTTGCTGAATTTTCTAAAATAAGGGTACTTTACACTACAGCTTTGATATTGTTTGAGCTACCCTGTATGCTGTTTGACTTGCAACCATTCTTAGTGCACCTAATATGATTATCAGACATGCACCAACTTTTGGCCTTGTTTGTATTTGGGTTGTGCTATTACTAAAAAAAATTCCCATTTGTTGCACACTTAAAAAATCACACGACATGGATCCGATGGATGAGGGGAGAATGGGGCCATTTTACCTTGAATTTGGCTTTGATGCTGAAGCCCTGTTGGACACTAACAAGTTAAATGAGATGCATGGTTTCCCTTAGATCTTTATAGGGCAAAGTACTGCTACATTGAACTGTTTTTTATTTGATAATTTTGTATGCAAATTCAAAGCTCCAGATTTTGAAGTGTTGAAAAAGCTCTATCTTTACAAACATATCTAAGATAACGTTGATAAAGTACGTAATTTTAGTCATTATTTTTTCGTACTGAATTTTTAAAGAACATTTTCAATCAACATTTTACAAAAGTTAATTTTGTTCGATTAGTTTTTTTAACCAAAATGTAATTTACATGAAATTGCTTTTCATCACGCTAATTCGCAAAAACGGACTTTATTGTGCCATCGAATCGACATCAGGTCGAGCATTAAAAATTTACAAATGGCTCACGGGCGCGGACCGTGGAAGCCGACATGGTACAAATGACTGCACAAATTACAATTTTCTACTTCAGGATGTTGATTGGGTTTTTTGTTTCGTTTTTTTCTTTTTTTTTACCAGAACCGAAGAAAATATCTCAATTGTATAGAGAGAATGAATTAGCCGAAGCGGAACACTACTGAGGAACCACTTAATTAAAACATGAAAGATAAAGTATAATAAAAAAGTAAATGAAGTGAAAGCCAAAATACCTTACTACTATGGGATGTTGTTGAAAAAAAAATTGATTGGATTGGAAATGAATGGTTGCTTTTTGGTTAATTTGAGCAAAATAGCAATGGTGCGGAATGAAGACAATCACTGCTGAGACAACAGTACGCTACGAACCGGGAATTTGCATCAATTTTAAATTGAATCTAAGACTGGTACCGCCCAGCTCTAGAATAATTTTAAGCTCAATTAATTATCCGTTCCTGAGCGCCAATGAAAGATGCACTTACTGGGTTCAATGCCGTCGCGGGTATTATGTTTCCGAGAACGTTGGAAATTGAGTAATTAACAGAACGTTTAAAATAAAGTAGGCTGCTTGTTGGCCCGTGTTGGTTGTTGGTGCAACGAACTGGTTCCGCACCGTCAGTTCGCTTCATTTTAAGTCGGATTTGAATACTTGAAGATAGAGGATGGATGCCTGTTAATTGACCCAAAGTAACGTACCGCGTAATTTGAATTTACTCTGGGGAGCGATTTGCATTTTTGATATTCATTTTCAAAATACCAACAGATGAGATGGTCAGAATTACGACTCAAAAATTTAGGAAACTCTCGAGAAATGAGCATTCACATGCCAAGAATATCTCTTTTTATAGTCGTCCATTTATTCTAACACAAAACTATTAAATGAAGATTTTATTGGAATCTGTCCGTTTTATTATAAGAAGATAGGTTCTAATATGAAATAACTTTTAGCTACATGGAGCAGATGACGGCTTAAGCTTTACAGTATAAAAT